ATTTTTGGTTTCCAGTATTAAAAGAAGGGTTAAATTGAATTATTAGTTTAATTTTAATAACTTGACAAAAAAATGGCTCCTTTAATATAAATTTCATATAATATAAATTATATTTTTTTTTAATTTCTATTATTTTATCAATAATTATTGGAGCTTTAGGAGGATTAAACCAAACTTCATTACTTAAATTAATAGCATTTTCTTCTATTAATCAGTTGCGTTATATACAACTGGATCACAACAATTTAACACCTGCCCTTAGAAACAAATAAATACACTTTTATTAACTTTGCTTTGAATTTCTTCAAGCTTTGTCCGGTATAAACTCTCGTTTTGTCCATGTTTTCTTTAAAATTCCTTGTCCTCTCTTTGTCGTTAAATCCTCATCAGCATAAAGAAAATGGTACTTTAAGCACATTTATGCTGCAGCCGTTGCGGTAACCACACTTTTTTTTTATAATCAATAGAACATTAATTTTCTCGCTGTAGTCACCTTACTTACCCTGAGTGCTGATGTCTTACCAAAAAAAACCAACAAAGCTAAACTTTTCGCCTTACCGTAAACATGCGGGTTGATAAACTTCTATCTCAATCTTCCGTACAATGCCACAATTCGGTAATTCTCCTACTCGTTCTCACTCAGTAGCCAGTTGGCTTTAAACCATAGATACGCGTACGAAATTTCACTCTCGTCGCCACTTTTATTTTCATTTGTTAGTTAAGGTGTTTCGCTGTGAGATCCTTATTCTCGTAACCACTTCGAAACTTTATGTTTGTTGTACTGCAGTAGCAATTTCTGGTGAAATGGAGCATTAATTTCCGAGATGTGTGTAATTGAAAATTAGAAGTGAAAGTGCATGTATAACCTACGTGGTGGCCATTTATGGACTCTACAAAGAATCACCTTAAGGTTCTTTCTTGAATCTATTGGTTATAGGATTTTTACGAGATGAGTCAGAGGAATAAAACCAGATGTTGTTTGGTGAGTAAGAGAACGAATATCTTACGAGTATCGCTGTGTTTATTTATTCTTTACAATCATTGCGTTACATTTTTATAGGGGAAAGTGCCATCCGCTTTAAAATCGACTTGTTGAACATATTTTACAAACAATCTTTTACAGGTTTAATGTATGAAGGCTATACACTAGAAAAATTAATTTAAATTTAGGTGCTCAGAGACTGACCTATACGAGCGTCAATTTTGACATAAAATTGAGTTATATTAGACGCGAAATTCCGCTCAATCAAACGTTCGTTCGAACTTTTCAGTCTAGGAGCACTTAATTTTACATGACATGTTTGTATACGGGTTTTGCCGCAAATCACTCTTATTTTATTTATTTTTACGCAGATAGATTTATTTGGGTTTGCAAGGGAATAAAACAATTGAAATATTTAAGAAAGTGCCCAATGGTGCTCCTTCTATTTGCGTGACAAGTTTTCATTGTTGTTTTCATTGAGGTATTACTCAGGGAACAATGTTAAACACCATTATTGTACATGGTATTGTAACTAATCATATATGTGCTTCATTTTGATTTGGGATAAGTGTTTGAACTATAGCTCGAGATTTCCACTGTGGCGTGCTTCTCATACGTATTTTTGTGGTGCGACATAGTGAAAGCGTGTGAGCGTAGTTGGAGCATATACCCTATATAATTTAAAAATCAGCTAGGAAACTAACTTCAAAATGAAGCATTTTAGTCACATGAAGGTGTTACCTGAGTCGAACTAAGATATAATAAATAGGTGTAGGTCAAAATCATAAGTACTTGAAACACGTTTAATTTTAGATTACAAGCACAAGTGCAGATACTTAATAAAGCATGGGTTACGATTGATTAGGTGAATTAGAGCTTTTAATAATTTATTAAATTAGACTAATAAGATATCATAATCATCAAATGAACTTAAATAAGAAACTTCAGAAAGTCTAATGACATTAAGTAGATTAACAAAAGAATTAGGATGCGGGGGAAGCAACTAACCTTTAAAGTTGTATAATAAATCTTCTTATTTAGTCTTGAACTTTAATAAGAAACGCATTAAGCAGATTAACCAAAAGAGGGGGTTATTTTTAGGAAATAAGTAAAAGTAGAGGTATGTGACAATTAATAGCTTTTAAACTTTTGGAGGTATTGTATTCCCCTGAGTTTGTTGTACTCGATTACTATATTATTCTCTCAAACGCGAAATCTCTTATATATTTTAATCGCATTTGAGTTAACTTATTTCTTAGTGTTCAAGTACTTAAATTTAAAACAGCAGTCAATGTTAATCTATGAACTAAACCATACGTAAAATCGATCTTTCCTTATGTGGTATTGATGCATGTTTAACTTTTCGCGGCTGTCGGAATCAACGCGCCTACGTCTATGGAGCTTACGCAGAAGTGATTCGCAATGCGGTAGAGCTCACCAAAAGTTTTTTTTGAGCTTCTGTAGTATAGAATTTGTTCGGTACGGTCGCGAAATCTTGAAATGATTGATACGTGGGGTAAAATAACTAAATTGAAACAAAGCTCAACAGTAAAATAAGTAGAATATTTAGGGAGAAAACCAAAATTAATCAACTTGCCAACATAGGCTATCACATTTATTTTGGTGGCACTCTTTAAGTGATAATAAGCTGTTTTTTTTCTCTACGGTTGTTTCGCGTGGCGTTCACAATTTGCGCGATTTTCGTATCTTACGTAATTTAGATGTTTAGCTCTAAACGGTTTTACTGACTCTAGGTCGTTCCTTAAGCGGTGTTGGTACAGGTTAAACCTTTGCCGACTGTCGGATTAAACGCGCCTACGTCTACGGAGCTTACGCAGAAGTGATACACAATTCGGTAGAGCTTGTTAAACGCTTTTGAGCTTATGTAGTATAGAATTTGTTCGGTGCGGTCGCGAAATCTTGAAATGATGGATACGTTCTTTAAATTAACTAATTTGATACAAAGCTCAGTAGTAAATAAGTAGAATATCTAGGGAGGAAACCAAAATTAATCAACTTGCCAACATAGGCTATAACATTTATTTTGGTGGCACTCTTTAAATGATAATAAGCCTTTTTTCTCGTTTCGGTTGTCTCGCACGGCATTCGGAATTCGCGCGGTTTTCGTAACATACATAATTAAGATATTTCGTTCGAAACGGATTTACTTATTCAATCGGTTTACTACGCGGATGTATCTACGCGCACACGTCACAGCATTTTTTCTATAACTATCTTGAAACAATACATACGGAATCCAGTGTTCAAGCGGCCAACATAGGCTAGTCCTTCTGTTGTATTGTCAAAGATAGAAGCAAAATTTATTTAAATGGGTCAAGTCTTGAAAACTAAGCTGTCCGTAGTTCCAGCTTGATAACCAATAAAAAAAATAGTCCCAGCTATTAGCTAGAACATTGCAGCGTTGGGAGAAATCTTCCATTTTTGTACATAAAAAGAGAATACATCTAATGGCTTCTGCAGTCTGCTGTAAATAACACGAATACTTCTTCCTTTAGTGGAAACCATGAAGATGGAACCATCGAAAGGCATGTTTTGGAGAAAAACTTCAATTGTCCCCTTTCACAGGTTCCCCCCGGCGATATTCCGGTCATTCCGGAGTGACCAATATAGGCAATGGTCACCGAAACGCATGTTTTGGTCAAAAACTACAATTTTTACGTACTACAGGCTCTCCCGGTGGTGCCGGAACGATCAATATGGTCAATGAACCATAGGGGACTATAGGGGACGACGGGGTTAGACGACCACCCTAAGCTTGAAGTAAAATTTATCCAAAACTGTATAAAATGTCCGCTAAAAATTTTGTGATTATTGATCTGTTGAGTACTTTCCCTAATAACATTAATTTTCCGAAATTTTCTTTTCATTTGATGATGTTTTATCACGAATCTGAAACAAACTAAATAATGAAAGAATCATATCATGCAGGGTAAGGTCGACCACATGGAATATATAATTATCCTAGCCATATAAAAGGTTACTGTCTTCGGCAAAATTATTGTACAGTATGTCAAGGAGGATAGAGAACAGTAGTAAACAATTTTCTCACTATGCGGCGCGCTAATGTGCAAGTTAATTTCCTGTATAAAATATATCTTTAGATCTATTCTATTTAGAATGTTTCCGTCTTCGGGAATGGTGATCAATGTCTTCAAATTTGTGGGACTCCATTCGTTACACTAGTCTACGGTTAAACTTCACGTAGAAGTCCTGGGACATAGACATTGGCGAAAGAATTTTGAAAATTTGTTGCGAAACCATCGAGATCCAGCTGATTGAACAGTTAAGATCGAGTGATTAGTGAACCTAGTATTCCACGTTAGTATTTTGCTCCCAGTATTTATAGTGTTAATCCGTCAGAGGTCCACTGAAAGAAGGTGTACATAAAACGTAAATTAACCCTATATAAAAAAATCAACCGGGCACGCTTTAGCTATTTTAACACATTTTAGCTCATTCGTGATTTTTCCGGAGATGAACTTTGAACTTGAAACCTTCAGCGTGATAGGCATGGATGCTAACCAGCAGGCCAGATCCGTTCATCACCTACCCACTGCGAAACGTGATTCTTCGTACTTAAAAATAATTCAAAGTCATAGAACAATCGATGTGGAGGTTTGTGCGAAAAATTGCCTTACATTTGAAACATAATACCCAGCTGAATGAATAGAAATTCAAAATACTTAAGTAATAAATAAAATAAAATAAAACAATTTTTGTATTTATATTCCTCCTTTTCAATAAAGTTAACCTAATCATAATTTGCACCAATAATTTTTGATATTCTTTTTTGACTCTACGAGCCGTTGGTAACAGCAGTTGATCTTGCAATAAAATTTGTAGGAACAAAATGTGTTTGACCAAATTAACCTTCAATGCATTGCAATTGCTTCATTGGTTGATATGTGTCATGGTTTGCCTTTTTATTTAATTTTTTCCGTATCAATAAAGCGTGCTTCAATGGAAATAACAATTGTTCGCTTTATGCCTTCAACAGGAACTACGCAGTAAGGAGGAGGAACTCAGCCGAGTGCAGCGAGAACAACGCTTCAAAGAAGAAGATCTAGCTAAACGTGAGCAAGAGCTGGATGCACGTGAAATCGAGCTTCTGGGACGTGAATTGAAAATTATCATCACCCAGAACACGCCTACGCCTAAAAAGCGAAAAGGAAAATTTAGCAAGAGCAAATTAAGGGTAAGAATGACACACGTTCGACAGTTTCCTGCTTTTATTCAATGACACTCAAATGCCTCTTTGGTTTTTTTCAGTTATTGAAACGCGAACCGGGTCACATCTCGTTTCCACTTGATTTTCGTCACACGATAACGGTGCAGCCTACTGCTATTCGAGACGATTCTCGACAGCGCACGGATACTCCTCCCGGTTCACCAGCCACTAGACTGAGGGCTATAGCACGTAAGTATTCGCTTGTGCTTTTAAACTCGATAATGCTTTAATTTTTCCCTAGATTTCACAAGTATCGTTTTTGATCCCAGTTTTCATATAAAAGATTTTTTGAAGTACAGTTTTATTTAGTACACCAACAGTAATTTTCAATCACACCTTTTTCAAAACTCTAGCAATAGAATACATTTCATCGATTGAGTAAATGATCCATACTAAACTCTCTTGGATCGATGTGCAAACTCGTACTCAGTCGTACCGATTGCATGCTACCTGATTCGCCGCGAAACTATTCAGTTTAAACACGTTTGAGTTTCTTTTTTGTATAGATATCTAGCTTATTTTCTATTTTGGACCTTTTTGCTAAAATTTCTTGAATTTCAGAACTCGTTTTTCCCGTCTTCTTTACTTTGTAAGTGTTTCGGTTGAATTCAACCGAAAGTTTGATTGTTTTGTATTTTATGAAAATCGTTTATTTTCGAGAGACTAGAACGCAGAAAGGCAATGTTTTTCAATATTGGTGGATTTGCGAATATTATAGGGCCATCCATAAAGCACATTTTTACCAATTTAGAAGTCGTGTTTATTTTCTTTATTGTGTAATTAGATTTTCAGCCATGAAATGGGTTATCTCTAAGTCTTTTTTATCATTATTATTATTATTCGATTTAGTTTTACAAGTGGGGCAAAATGCATTACAATAATGGGGCAATATGACTCTCCCTGCCGTCTTAGAAATTATCATCACCAATTGTGGCAGAGAACGTCTTCGTTTTTAGCTGCCTCCAGTTCCGATCGTAGTTGTTCAAAGGTCCATGATTGCTAAATAGACTTTGGAATGTTGCGGACCATTTCTGAAGAAAGAATAGCACGTAAACAAAGCTTTTTTTTACTAAAGAATCATTTTCCCCGAACTTAGGAGTGCATCTTGCCCTGAATGCATAAAGAAAATGTTTTTGATCATAAAATAAAAATTCTTATTTAAATACACCGATTTTTTATCAGAAAGATGTAGCTCTAATCTCAATCAAATGCTTAATGTTTGAATCGCTTAAAAATCTACAAAATTACACTATATCCAATATTAGAAATGCAAACTGGTTTTGTTTTTATTTACATTATCTGACCACATAGAGCTGCTAAATTGATACGGTGTCCAAAGCAAACATAGATTTAACTTGTAGGGTAACTACTTTGTTGTAAAAATGTATTATAGGCTTAAAACAAAAGAAGTGCATCTTGCCCCAACGGTGCATGTTACCCCATGTACCCCTGCAAACACGATGAAAGCTCATATAGAGCAGAGCACGGTCCCTAACCTCACACTTTGGTCTTGTTGTATCCCTTTCATTTTACACCAGAGTAAAACTGATGGCAACAGATAACTGCGAATGGGAGCCGAAACAAACCACCTAAAATGGTCAAATTTGACATCAACCTGCGCTGATCTATCACAAATCTTGCTTTCGGTGCTGGATATTAAAGAGACTGAATTGGGTAGAGAGGCGACAGGTCTTCTGCTCGATTGGAATAACTGTTACTATGAATTTGACAGATCATTGATTGTTCCAATTTTGATAAGTCGTCTCTTTATATATTCAGCCTCTTCACTGGACACGTGATTGACAAGAGAAAGTGTAAGCTTTCATTAGATTTCGATGTTGAATGAAAACTGTATATGAACAACCAAGATTGATTGGAGAAAATGTTTGCCATATCAAACCGCAGTCGGAAATGTAAACAGATAGGATACTTTTTATACGTGGTAAATTTTTATCTGTTTTGATAATAAAATGGACAAAATCAATCGACTTCATAAACAATAATCAAAAAATAAACAACCTGTCAAAATTCATAATCAGATCAGTCAAATTGCTAGTTAAACAGGATTTAAAAAAAAAACATTAATTTTTGAATCTCTTTTCATTACCTGCAGGGCTGTTACAAAAGGCGCGGATTTCGCGAATTTCGCGGATTTCACGATTTTCGCGGATTTGTTGTGGATTTGAACATTCAGTCGCGAAAATCGCGGAAACATTTAATGTCGCGAAAATCGCGAAGGGACTGATGTGCTGTCACAATAATTTTTACCGGTTCAAACCAAACACCCTGCAAATAATCGAGAAATGATCCAAATTCCACAAGCCACATTGAATTTACACGGAAATTCCTTGTGGTCTGTCGAATGTGAGACATCTTCATGGTTTTTTTTTATGTCAAATATGAACATAACATTTATCAAATCATAAACTAATCGTATATATGCGAGTAATTGCCATGTATACCGGATATTCTAGGTTCTCTAAATCGTCCTGGAGTTCAGTTGATTTGTTCAACCGAGACTGCAATAATGTCTGTAGTATCGAAATATGTTCAAACAGATTCAAATTGTCTATGTGGATCGTGTCCGACCTATTGCTACGTATACAAGATGTTATAGGTTCTGAAATCATTCTGGAGATCAGATTGTTTTTTCTACTAGATCACCCAAGACTAATTCAATATCTGTAGTATCGAAATATGCCCAAACAAATTTGCAGTGTCTATGTGGATCATGCCAACCTATTTCCAAGTATGCCAAATGTTCTAGGATTTCCAAATCGATATTTCGATACTACCAATATTATCCCAGTTTTTGTTGATATAGTAAAACAAATCATCTGAACTGCAGGATGATTTGGAGAACCTAGATCGTCTGGTATACGTGGAAATAATTGAACATTATCCATATAGACACTATGAATCTGTTTGGATATATTTCGATTCTACAGACTTGATCCCAGTCATGGTTGATCCAGTAGCATAAATCATCTGAACTCCAGAACGATTTGGAGAACTTAAAACATCAGGTGTGCATGGCAATCGGAGGTTTTTTCTGACCTCGCCCGGTTTAGTTTTCCAACTTTTCCCGGAAACTCATTCAAACTCTCATATATACGATTCGATTATGATTTGACGACAAAAAAGTGCTAGGTTCATATAAGAAATAAAACAAATATCATGAAAATGTCTCACCATTGGACAGACCCCAAGGAATATCCGTGTAATACAGAACCGCAACGTGACCAACAAGTGTGACTTATGAAACTCTGGTAATTTTTCGATTATGTGCAGGGTGTTTGGTTTGAATCGGTAAAAAATTGAGAAAACTAGAGCCAAATTAACTACAACATTTAAGACAGATAAATACTTCAAAGAAGCAAAGCTTAATTTTCAAGAAAATTGGCATTTCGAATGAAAATGCCTTATTTAAAAAAAAAATAATGTTTCATCAAATCTAGGCTGGTATTATTCAATAAAATCTCATAATGTAAGGGTGTTTTATTATGTTCACTAATTACTCAGAATTTATACTACAAATAAATAACTGAAGATGATACATTGTTATTTTTTAATTTTTGTTTCAAAGGTTACAAACGATACTCTTTTAGCTCAGTCGGTAAAGGTGCAGCTACAAAGCAAGTCCATGCTGGAGGCGACTGAGTTCGTTTGCCGTCCGGTCTATTAATTTTTCGGGTTGGAAAATTTCTCTACTTCCTTAAGCATAGGATGGTACAGGCATAGAAAGCTCTCAATTAAAATGTGAAAGTACTTCAAATAACACTAAGTTGAGAGCAGACAAAATCTAATATGCTATAAGCAATAAGCTTGAAATGCCATGTAGTATACAAATGGTAATTTTAGGTTAATGAAAACAGTTTTTTTTTTGCTCGCGGATTAGTATTTGAAGTCGCGGATTTCTTTTGAGAAATCGCGGATTTCGCGGATCAAATTTAGAAAATCTTGTAACAGCCCTGTACTGCCGCTATTCGCATAACAGTCCTATGTAGATAAGAAATCCATAAAACAATGGACTGTTATGCGAATAGCGGTAGTGTACCTGGTCATAACATTATTATATGCAATTTTCACATAATATATCCTGCGCTTTCCAGTATTATGAATGATTATCGATGCCAAAGAGGTGCTCGTGAATGTTTTTATGAGCTTCAACATTGAGTTTGAGTAAATTGTTTAGGAAGGTACGCTTTTTATTGAACTCGTTGGTAAACTTTTCCGCTGAATTCTATTATGTGCTTAATGACATTAGATGAGGATTTTATACGATTGAGTTAACTGCAGCTCCTGTAACGAGTTGTGTCAATCCATTCTTTAATCTACTTCATTTGATTCAACAAGTTAGAAAGTGTTCAAAGTAGCCCATACAGCCGTCTCGTATTATGAAATTAATATCAATAATCAAATTGATTTCATTGACAGCATGACCAGTTTTCCATTTGTGATACAGCTGTGTAAAAGTATGCTCTCAGTTTTGCTGTATTAACCGTTAATAGATACAATACGAGATCATCTGGAATAATCAAATAAATAGCAAATTTTGATTTACATTTGATCTCAAGCTTTGCTCGGGAGTAAAAAAGGACGTTATAATGCTGAAGTTATAACTATTTGTTAAATAATTCCAATCATTTTATGTATGAAACTGCTGTCTTCCGAATAAACCGGCTTACCAAAAGCCAGAAGGTCACGTCAACCTACGAATCGTTTTATGTTGACAGTAATTCCAAATCGCACCACATTGTCACGTTCTAGTTTCTCGGAAATTCCTCTGCTTCCATTTGGCTGTGCAAAATTGGTAGTTTCCATTTGACTTATGATTTTCTACGAGCGCGATTACAGCAACGAGTTGTTAGCAATTACATCGAACAGATACATTTTCATAATCAATCATAAACCATCATTAATAAATCATCGAACATCACTATTATATCCCATTCCGAAAAAAAATCTTGAGTTAACCAGCTCATATTTAAATCAATCGATACAGTTCCGGCCGATGGTATGAAGGGTAAAACCTGGGGACCGTCGACTTTGCACCAGCGCGAGCGAGGTTACTTGCCAGCACTCAAATCGACAGTTCGGACACCGCATTTCAGTAAAAGTGCCCCGAATTTGGACAAATCCCGCTCGGTGGTCTCCACCAGTTCGTCGCGTAACGACATATTAGGTAAAAGTCACGATGGTCTAAACACCATCAATAACAGTAAACACTATCAGCAAACCACTTCCTGTACTCTTAATCTTAAAAATTACGTTAGTAGTAATAGTACCAATTCCTCAATCTCGAGCCGTATTAGCGATAATAAACGTAACCGTAGTCTAGATAGCAATAATCAAGGTACCAGCGACGTTCCAGGACAATCTGATCAGAATGAAGTCCCTTATGATATATTCTATCGAACAATCCAAAAAAGTTTGGATGATATCTTCTCTAGAGAAAGTGAACTCGATGAGCCAATCTCTCGTATTAGTAGCTCCAAATCCAGTGATAATCTCACCATGTATGCCAGTAGTCGCTCGGATTCGACCGTTGTAGAAGATTCCGACTATAAATTCCATCGATTCGGTTCGGCCGAATCAAAGTTTAAGCGTGAATGCTTCTTTGTGTCTCAGTCCAAGTCAACTAGTGTGGATGATAGTCATAGTACTAGTACGGATCAGCATAGTGACTTTCAGGAAAGGTTTTCCAATATGGAACTCAGCGAGTCCAGTAATGATGTAGGTTCGTCGAGAAAAAGTTCCGTCACATTTCGAACAGAGGTGGATGTGAAAAGTGACTACGAACATCTTTGCCCTCAGACGCCACTCCGCCCTTCGGAAATATATAGCGACTATAGCACGGCCATGAGGGAGTACGATTCAAATTGCAATGCTTCCTCACGGCCAAACTCGTTCCGTAACAAGCTGGATAGAACCAAGCGAAAGTTTAAGCTTTCCAGATTGTTTGGCTCGAAGAAAGAGAAAGAGAAGATGAAATCTCGCAAACTGGTCCAACACACAAATAGTATTTATTTGAAACGAAACTCCGGAAATCCGAGCGAACGGGAACGTTTGCTACTGACCGAAACGGAAGGTAATGTGATTGAGAACGAATCGCCATATGGTAGGATAAAGAGGACAAAAAACTATCTGATAGTAGAGAACACTGAACCATTTGATTCCTAACTAACTTTTCCTTGCAGCATGTTCTGTTTCGTCTGTTGCCCTACTCAGGGCAAAAAAGCAGCCAGTTTTTGTGCTGAGTTTGATATAATTACCTACGTTCCCTAGCATCGTGGCATTTATATAGTTATTTTCAGGATTAAGGAAAAACAAATTTGTATATGGATAGAGAAATATGTTGTGCTGCAGGTACCGGACTTGAATCGGAAACAGTAGACGATGCGTTTCCTTTCGCTAGAAAGTTGACGTGTGTTAATGTATAATTTTATGAACTAAGCATAACAATCGCAGTGGCGTGCGTTACATTGGAACATAATCAACCAATTTAGTCCTCTATGATACGGCAGTGCTCTAGACATTCATTACGTTGTTTTTGTTTTTAAATATTGTTTCCTTTTCCACGCCAGTTGACGAATCGTTCAGACGCGACCTTCTCCGGTATTCATTTTCAAGTTTGGGCGGTATGAAAATGAAGTGAATCATAGCATGCAAACATCTCTTTTAAGCTGAGCCGATATGGTTGCAAACTAGTAGGCCTTGAGCAGTTCCACGCCAAATGACGAATCGATCTGATGCGACCTTCTCCGATTTGCACGAAACTTTTACATAATTGTTTGTTAATGTCAATCATTTACATTTCTGTTAAACAAAATAGCCATCCTCATCTACAAACCGATTGCCGAACGAGTGTAAATTCTTCCAACGGACTAGAAAGTAACAGCAGTAGAAGGAGTGAAAGATAAACTGAAAGGCAGCCGTACAATCTACTCTACCCGATTGAATGTGTAAAAACCGAACGCTCAAGATTTAAATATTCGAGTGAGCTATTTTTCAGCTCAGCGATTTAAATCAGCTGAATTAGCCACTGCAGTTTTACAGTATTTGTGTGACGCTTATGTTTATGTGTTACAGTATAATACTTTTCTCCATGTTAATGCCAATTTAAATGTGACAATTTATGTTCAAAGCTAGAAAATAAAAAGTGATTCTTTCTGCAAAATTCTCACTCCGAATGCAGCAGAATGCAATCGTAAAATGCTCAGCATGCAAAAAATAATAAGTAAGCAATCATCTACATTACTACACTCAAAATTATTCATGTTACGTTCAGCTGTCTGTTTTCCTCAATTTTGCGTTCACCGAAGTTCGTTTTTGATGTTGTATGCGTGTGAGTGAGTAGTAAATGCAAAATGAAGCAATGTTTCCCATGCTTGCATAATTACTCTTAAGTATTTTTTGAAAATTCTTCTTAAACGAGCTATACAGAGAAATGCTAAAATTGTCAAACATGACCATGCATTATTAAAAATTAACTTTTACGCTGAATACAACCAGTAGACGTGATCCAGAAAGCCATTATTTATATTATTTTAGTTCCAGCAAATGATCTTTGTACTGCCTCTTTTCGCATAACAGTTCCATGTCCTGTGAATTTCGTATCTACACATCCTATCTATTATGCGAATAGCGGCAGTATATTTGTCCTATATAAAGGAAAATACCATCGGGATTTAATACCAAATATGATTGCGACATTTTTTGTTGATACTTCGACTCATAAATTCGAAGTACATAACTGCATAAACTGAATCAATTGACATATTTTTTTATTAACTAGTAAAGCAAATTAACTCACATGATTACTAGACTGAACTTAAGAGTGGCTTTTCGGATACAATTTGCCCAAAAAAATGATCAGTATCTAATCTAGATGCGAAATTTACATTACATTAAACAGTGTCAATTGGCAATTAATTTTAAGGAATGTAGGAAATGTCGAAATTGGTATAGACGTGTTCTACAAAATTTTAACAGAAATAATTTCGGAAGAAATACCTTTGAAGAAAAAAAGACGTAACAGAAACACACAAAATCCAGTCTGGTTTAACAGACAAATAAAAAACTTGAAAAATCGGAAGCAAAAAGCACATAAAATTTATAAAAAACACAATAGTAGTAATAATTTATTAATTTATTTGGATCTATGCGATCAACTGAATTTAGCTATCAGTACTGCATTTGAAGAATATAATGCAAAAACTGAACGTGAAATAAAGTCCTGTCCGAAGAACTTCTTTAATTACGTAAAAACGAAATTAAAATCTGACAATTTTCCTTCAATAATGCATCTAGACGAAAATGTCGGTGATAGTTCGGAAAAAAACTGTAATCTATTCGCAAAATTTTTTCAAGAAATTTATACGACATTTTCTGAAGAAGATCGTGACCGCAATTATTTTGCATTTTATCCAGAATTTTCAAGGGACATTGGCCTCAATCAACTTCAAGTGCAGGACATTTTGCAGGCTTTAAAAAATTTAGATGCCTCAAAAGGTCCTGGACCTGACGGAATTCCTTCAGTATTAAAAAAAAAGTCTAGCAATGGAACTCACTGCTCCATTGTTTTGGCTTTTTAATATGTCAGTGGAATCCGGAACTTCTTAAAAATATGGAAAAGCTCATTTCTATTACATATTTTTAAATCTGACGTGCGTAATTATCACGAAATAGCCATTATCTCTTGCATTCCAAAGCTTTTCGAGGCAATTGTAAATGAAAAATTATTTCTACAAACCAAAAATAGAACTACTGACATGCAACACGGCTTCTTTTTAAAGGACGTTCGACCTTAACAAATTTAATCAAATTCTATTCATTATTTGCAATGGATAAAGGAAATCAAGTAGAAGCCCTCTATACGGAAATTAGCAATTGAAAAAAAAAAATGGATTTGAGCCAGGACTCCTGAAATGGCTTGAAACATATTTAACTAACCGCCAAAAAATAATTAAATTCATCGGAAAGAAAAAGAACTCAATTCAGGTCACCTCAGGAGTCCCCCAAGGTTCTCATTTGGGCCCTCTTCTTTTTATTCTGTATGTAAACGACAATTCCTTCATTCTCAAAAAAAAAATAAAGGGTTGCGTCTTTTACACGACCGCAGTATGACGTAGAACCACGCAATATTGATGTATGTCATGCATTTTTGACTATTATACTTTATCTTAAATTTTTCAAGTAGGTCACGTATTTTAAAGACAACATTGGTGGTGCAATTTCAAAAACCAAAGTCGGTCGCGGCATAACAGTGGTCTGAGTTTGATCCAGAGATGATGGATTTTCATTTCTAATACGCCAATCGATAGGAAATTTTCTAAGTATCTGTTAAAATAAAGACTTTATTTTTTTAAATGCCACTATTGAAAAGTACATGAACGTGCAACTGTTGCTATGATGATTAAAATTATCACCCATTGCGTGTGAAAAGCGCTTTCCTTAACACAGACTTCAAAATCGAATTCCATCCGGTAATTATTCAATCACCGCGTGTGTTGAGTGGTGGTGTTCTCCAGTACACAACGAAAGGCTCCCCGCACGCAGCTAGCTATCAAGGCTGCCCTCAACCGCTGATCGGATTCAGTTGCTCGTCGTGAGTCTCTGTGGGCCATATATGCCAAGCGCGTCACCCTCGTTCTAAACAACATACAGCTCGCCAGCATCATCCGAGTTTAACACCATAATAACCATCACGACAAAAGGGTTCTTCATTGAACGTCCGCTCGCTGTGCTGCCAGCCACATCACCCTCAAACCTATTTGATGCTGTACCCATTATCTATTGAATAAACCAAAAAGGCCGTGCGTTTTGTGCATGAAAATGCGTAATTTTGTTATCAGAACACAAGGTGTTTCCGTGATGGGAAAAAGTGAATTCCCTAACACAGCTCGTAATACAACGTCAAATCTACGGTCGTGTCTTGGATACAACCTCTTACTTTTTTTTTCCGAAATATCGGAAAGCATAAGTGTATATACTTAAGTGTTTAGAGAAAATTGTTAAAAAAATTGTCGAAATCTCAAGGAAAATAATATGCCGAAATTGGTTGAGCTGGATTTTGCTGAAGAGAATCCCTAAAAATTTGCAATTCTTGTCGTATACCTTTAAAACGTACCGAACTATCGAGTAGATTCAATTGATTATACAAAAGAACTTGTTTTGCTGTTT